CAGCAAAACTGTCTCTCAAATACGATGGCAAAATTAGGGCATTTCCAGATAAACAGAAGCTTAGGGAATTTGCAAAAACGAAACCAGAATTACAAGAAATACTAAAGGGAGTCCTACGGTTAGATAATAACACCAGCTAACGACGCAAGACTAGAACACAGGACAGAGCAACCAGATATTGACTCAGATACAGAAATCGAAAATACATCAAAGCTAGAACATTGAAAAGAGGGAAACAGATATCAGTATGTAAAAAAAGATAATATTAAAACAAAAAAAGAGGGACTTAAAACATGGAGACATTGATTTTCTATATGGAGGGGAAGTTAAGGCAATATAAAGTAATAAAAGACTGGTATAAACTTAGTAAAATAGGGGTAGATATTAAGGTAAACACAAAGCAATCTGACAATCCTACAGATCAGAATAAAAAGTAGAAAAACGTAAAGACCCAGCAAACACAAAATCTACAACAAAGAAAAAGATGAAAAAAATACATAAAAACGCCTCAGCACTGACAATTGAGAAAAAAGAAGCTGTGAACAACACACAAAAAGATACCAGAATGACAGCACTAAACTCATACCTATCAATAATTACGCTGAATGTTAACGGACTTAATGCATCAGTACAGAGACAGAGAGTGGCAGATTGGATAAAAAAGCATAATCCATCTATATGCTGCCTACAAAAGATGCACCTTAGACTTAAAGACACAAACAGGCTAAAACTCAAAGGATGGAAAAAAATGTCAAGCAGACAACACTCAAAAAAGAGAAGGAGTGGCAATATTAATCTCTGGCAAAATAGACTTTAAAGTAAAATCCACCACAAAGGGTAAGGAAGGACACTATATAATGATTAAAGGGCTAATACACCAAGAGGACATAACTATAATAAATACGCACCCAACAACAGGGCTCCAAAATACATAAAACAAACTCTTAACAGCCCTGAAGAGAGAGATACACAGCTCCACAATAGTAGTAGGAGACTTAAACACACCACTTTCGGTGAAGGACAAAACATCCAGAAAGAAGCTCAGCAAAGACATGGAAGAGCTAAATGCTACAATCAACCAACTGGATCTCATAGACATATACCGGACACAGCACCCAACAGCAGCCAAGTATACTTTCTTTTCCAGCGCACATGGAACATTCTCCAGAATAGAGTACATATTAGGCCATAAAGCAAGCCTTAACAAAATCCAAAACATCAAAATATTACAAAGCATCTTTTCTGACAATAAAGCCTTAAAAGTGAAAATCAGCAACACAAAAAGTAAGGGAAAAAAATCAAACACATGGAAGCTGAACAACATCTTGCTCAAAAACTACTGAGTAATAGAAGAAATTAAAGATGGAATAAAGAAATTCATAGACTCAAATGAGAATGAAAACAGATCCTACCAGAACCTTTGGAAGACAGCAAAAGCAGCGCTCAGAGGTCAGTTTATAGCAATAAATGCATACATCCAAAAAGAAGAAAGAACCATAATTAAAACATTAACCCTACAACTGGAAGAAGTAGAAAGAGAGTAGCAAAAGAAGCCCACAGGTGCCAGAAGGAAGGACATAATAAGAATTAGAGCAGAATTAAATGAAATAGAGAATAGAAAAACAATTAAAAGAGTTAACAAGACCAAAAGCTGGTTCTTTGAAAAGATCAACAAAATTGATAAACCATTGGCCAAACTGACAAAAACTGGAGAGGAAGCAGGTAA